AGTTCTTTACTGAGATACAAAAGGCACTTATCTGTGATGGGTGTTTGGAGCTGAAGTTGGGCTGCTGCTTGGCGACCACATCCCATACTGGTGCACTTGGGTTTGATTCCTGGCTTTGCTCCTGGATCCAGCTTCATGCTAATGCACACCCTGGGATGGCTCAAGCGCTTGGGTCCCTGCCACCCATATAGGAGACTTGGAATAGGTTCCAGGCCCTCGGCTTCAGCCTGGCTCAGTCTTGGCTATTGTGAGTATTTGGGGAATGAACCACATGTGAGACATCTCTGTCTCTGCCCATCAGTGACATAAATAAAAAATTTAAAATTCTCGCCCTACTCTTAGGTGTGTGTTTGACGTATTCTGACAGGTGTGGCCACACCCAGTCAAGACCCAGAGCATTCCTACCCCCTCCCCCATGCCGATCCCGTCACCCAGGGGCAACGAGAGCTCTGATTTCTGCCACTGGTGACCCCTTTCTCCTGTTCTTGAACTTCCTTGCTGTGCAGTCCTTCAGTTTGTACAGAGACCAAATCCCTAGGGCCTGGCGCAGCGTCTGGCACACGGCCTGTGTACTCTGTGAAAGAGGGCCCTGGTCCTTGGACTACTCTGGGAGAGCATGGGGCCTGCTGGGAAGCAGGCTGTGGGGCTGAGGCCGGGGAAGCTGAGGATCCTGGCTCAGCCCAGGCCCCCGGGGAGGCTCCCTGCGCCCCCGTCTGGGTTCTCTATGTGGAGGGAGCCCGATGGTCCCCAGCAGGCAGTGAGTGCCCCCTGCTGCCTGCTGGGCCTGACTGCAGACCCTCCTCTCCTCTGGGGATGGGACAGGATCACACAGGCCTGGAGCCCAGGGCAGTGACTGGCACAGGGTAGGGATTTGTGGAAGGAAAGTCACCTGCCCCCTTTTATTTTCTCCCTTCAGAAGAGGTTTTCCTAAGCATTGGGATCTTTTCCTCCACAGACTTAACAGACCAAGGGAGAAGAGGTGTTTTTGGTGGAGCGCTGCTGCCTCCAGGTGGACAGCCAGGGACACTGCCACAGAGCAGGTTGTCCGACCTGGCCTGTTTCAGGTCTCCGGTTCTGTGGCTCTTCTCCCGCAGAGTCCTGGGTTCCTGGTCCCTGAGGGGCAGACACCCAGCGGCACTTTGGCTGTGGTCTGGAGTGGGGGGCGAGCGAGGGTGGGGACTTCCTTAGAGAACCAACCCGGACCATGTGAAGGGGTAGATGTGGCTCCTCACATCCTTCCCTCCTGACCCTCCCTCCCAGGGATGGCTGGACTGGACGTGGCCTTGAGGGTCTGTCCCATGCTAAGCAAGAGTTCAATCAGCTGAGACCCAGGTTTGATCCGGAGGCTTGGTTTGCAGTGGGGGTGGGGGTGGGAGTGGTAGAGGCAGGGTGAGGGAGGCTCCTCAGGGGTGGGGGTAGGGGAGCAGGCAGCACCTCCCCCGCCTGCTGCTGTGCCTGCGTGCTAGGCAGCCAGCTGGCTCTGTGGCCTCCTTGTCGCACCTGTGGTTGGGTGGCGGTGTAACGGTTCAGCCTGCCTCGCCTAGACACGTGGCAGGGGCGATGCTATCTCTAAGGCAGTATTTTTACCTCTTCTTTCCAGAGGATGTGGCTTCTGTGGGAGAGCTTCAAAGAATGCTTTATGTGCCCCTCTCAGCAACACTGACGTCATGGAAATGGGAGGGGGCTGCCCCAGCCCCCAGACACCTGGAGGGAAGTGGGAGACTTTTTCCACTTCCTGTGCTACTTCTGGCTACTGACTCAGTGTCTGACCTTTTTATTAATTTCAGAATTCAGCTCTGTGTGTGACACCCAGAGAAAAACTCATGCATGTGTGTGTGTGAAACAGACCCCTCCCCCAACCCCCACCCAGGTGGGCTTGGCACAGAGGCAGGGTGATGGCAGTCCTGCACCCTCCCTGGCAATCTGCATTTATTAATGAGATGACAGCACTGGATCTCCAAACGGCTTGCTCCCCACCTTGGTCGCAAGCTCTTCTTCCCACACATTGCTTGAGGAGGTGGTTTGGAGGTGGGACTCGGGGTGGGACATGTGCAGCAGGTGAAGTGGAACTGTACAGTATCCATCGGCCCTGGGCCTTGGTGTGACCAGGCACGAGTGGAGCTCAGACCCCTGGCTGCCCTGTAGCTTGCCCTGAGTAACTGTCCTGTGGGCTTCCCGGGACAGAGAGGACCGTCTGGGCACTGCCCTGGCCAAGGGGTCCCCGTGCAGGTCTGGCTTTCTCTGCTGGTTATGGACAAGTTTCTCAGAGCTCCTGGCAGCATTGTAAGATAGTAGCTCCCCTGGCCACCTCCTCTGTGACCCCCACTTCCCCTTCTGCACGCCCCACCCCTAATCCCAGCTCCTTGCCTGCGGCCTAGCAGCACTAATCATCCATTTGTGCATCTGAAGGCACCGGGCTAGCTTCTGGGAACACACCAGTGAACAAGGCTCACTTCCCAGCCCGAGGAGCACCAGGTGAAGGGGACTTCCTGCAGGGATGTCCCCATGGTGAACCTGAAGGCCCCACATGCTGGCTTGCCCCTTTTCCTGCCTGCACTGTGACTCCAGTTGCACCAGGAGGGCAGGTCTCTGGGGGATGCTTCAGAGAATGCTCTAGAATCTTAGGCCTGTGGTCATGGGAGGGGTCATTTGGACCATTTTTCTGCCTTCAGAGAGGGCCTGCACTTAAGCCTCTCTGTACAGAGAAATCCGTGCTATACTTGGCCTTGCTGGATCATCAGCTTTCCCAGGCTGGGTCCAGACTGGTTGGGTGAGCTGTCCCTGCCCTGCTTATGGGGCCTGGCACAGTTCAGGGCTGGGATTTCCATGAGCCCAGACCAGGTATCCTCCAGGAAAAGCAGTGCCCAGCCCCTTACTGCTGCACCCTTTGCCCTGGGCCCTGCTGCACTGACCTTCCTCATGGGCACAGGAACCCTTCTCCTGGGCCTCCCCACGGGCTGCTTGAATTCTCCTGACATCCCAGCTAGGCCCTGGGGCCGGATGTGTCCCCAGAGCAGCCAGAGAGGGAGGTTCTGCCTTTACCCCCAGCTCTTGCTCACCTTCAGCCCTCTTGTTCCTGGTCCAGCTCTCTGACCTCAGTCCTTGCTGGCTTTAGGTTTACCAGCCTCAGACAGGAGGGAAGCCTTCCTCCTGGGATTGAGGAGCTCCTGGTGGTTGGAGATTTTTTTCAGGGGTGGAGGTGAGCCTGCTCCCGGGATGGCCTCCCACGCTTGCCCAGGCCTTGTCATCCTGCGCCTCGACTCTGGCCAGGCCTGGAAGGAGGAGGTCTCAGCCCCTCTGTGGGTGGGGGGTGTGGGGGGGCGTCTCCTGTCCCTGCCACACTGCTTGGTGTAATTCCTTGGGTAGTCTTGGGGGTGCAGTGACTGCTGGACTCTGCTATCCAGGGTGCTGGCTGGCATGGCTTCACAGGCTGGGCCTCTCTGAGCCTCTCGGCGGGGTCTGTCTTTGGCCCTTCTCTGCCTTCCAGGTTCCTGTCCCCTGTCCCAAGTCCCCGAATCCCCTTCAGCTTCGGGATCCCTGTGGCCAGCTCTCAGGAACAGACCGGCTGCTCACCCCCCATACCTCCCTCACCTGTGTTGGTTTTATTTGGAGCAAAGTGAGTTATCGCTGTAGGGGGTAATTTGCCCTGAGTTTTTAATGGTTGATAGAGGCTTGCTCTATTAACCCTCTCAAGGGCATTGTCACTTAATACAGGGAGGAAAATGCTTTAATTAAAAAATTCCCAGTGTGGAATCACTGGTGTGGCGTCAGACTGATGGGGAGCCAGGGTCCCGCTGCAGTTCCTTGCAGGTGGCAGATGCACATTTGGGAAGGTGTGGAGAGTGACCTTTGCTATAATGGGATCGCCCCAGAGACTTTGCCCTTTAGTGACCTTTAAAAGGCTCGTATTTAGGATGGAGACGAGGTGGCTTAGAAAGAACTGGCAATTCAGTGACGACCCTTGGTAAGGCTGACCAGGGGGTAGGACCGTGGTTCTTGTTCAACGGGGGTCACAGAGTCAGAGATACACGGAGCTGGAGGTAGCCCCCGTGCCTCCCTGACATTTCATGGGTGGTGACTCTGTCACTCTTAAGAGGGGAGAGACGTGTCTCAGGTCACCTGTCCAGGCTGGCGGCACTGTCCCTAGGAAAAGGAGCAGGCCTGCACCAGAGCGAGAAGGATTTGCATATTTCTGGCTGGTGTGGTCAGAGACACACATGGAAGTATGGAAGTATTTGGGGATGGGACCCCTCCCACCCCCGGAAATTAGGAAACCCTCGGCTTTGGGTCTTTGTGGTGGTAGCTGTTAGGTGGACAGCTGGTTGGCTGGTCTCTGAGTGTGTTTCTGTCAGCATGCACAACCTGGAGAAAAGTGCTCTGGCCCCAGGAGTTGCAGGAGGGAGAGTCACGTGCTTTGGGGTCCCAGGGAATCTTCTTCTCGTCCCCCAGGCTTTCCTTATTCTCATGTTCAGGATGGTGGGGGTATAAAGTCCTGCTGGGGTCACAGCCTCCTCCCACCCTGCTTCTGGCTGGGCATGGAGCTGGGACCTGGATAGCAGAGTGGTGGGCGGTCCCTAGCCGTGACGATGTGGGGCCATGCATGGTTTGGGCAGAAATCCAGTCTGAGAGGAAAGACGTGGACAGCATTCTTGGAGGGCAGGAGACAGTGGGTGGCATTTGGGGACACTTGCTGTGTGGTCCTTGTCAGCCAGATTTCAGCTGCCAGTCACCATGAGCCACGTGGGCCAATTTCCCGCCATGGGCGGCCCCGTGGTGTGGCATGAAAACAGAAAAGCAGGGGCCTGAGCTTTTAAGAGGGTTTTCCTGGCCCCCAGCACAGCCAACCGAGTGGAATTTTTCAGAGGTTACTCCAAGAAGAGGTTGACTTTAGCTGCTTGTTAAGTTGGCGTGATGGACAAAAGCCTTGGTTACTCTCTGCCCAGCCAGTGGGCAGCAGCAGGAGACCCCAGCCACACCCAGGTAAACAGGAGCACAACCTCTGGTCTTCTAAATCATTTTTAATATGTTACAGGCAACAGAATGACAACGTGGCTCAGATTATACAGCACGGCAGGGTCTAGATAGTAAGCCCTCCCCCCCCCCCATCCTGGATAAAATCAATATGCTTCTTTATGAGTACTATTGAAAAAAATACAAACATTCTTCAGGAGCCAGAGTCCAAGAGAGTCCACAGGGTATGGTGGGAGTCGGGGTAGGGGAGGGGGTTGTTCCATCATCTACGGGGACAGTAGGGCCGGGCTCTGGGGGAGGGGAAGGAGTCTCTTCAAGGCATGGAGAAGCTTTGGCCACCCCAACCCTTGCTGTGAGCTTCAGGCAGTGAGAAGCAGCAGAAAGGGGACAGGGAGCGCGGGGTGGCCACGGTGTTTGTCCGCTTGTCCACAGTCTTCATCACAGATCTGGTAGGATCCAGCCAGCACATTGGTAGGTAGGGGAGGGCAGAGAAGGGGTAGGAGCCTTCCTCTCCATGGTGGTGGGGAGCCCCCCTCGGCTTGCGGAGGGAGCGAGGCTCTCAGTCTTGCTGACCTGGGAGGAGGAAGAACAGAGGTCATGTTGAATGTGAGGAGTCCCCAGCAGTGTCCGAGCCGTGAGAGCAGTGGCCCCCTGCTACAGCTCTAGGGGCCATGGGGCCGGGGTTCTTTGTGATGGTGGGGGATGGGTGTATATGTCAGGGACGCTGGGCAAGGCGGGCAGTGGAGCTAGGATTAGGGTGCACTCTGGGTGTGGAGCTGGGGGAGAACACGAGGCAAGGATTGGGGGCCGCTGGGCTGCTGAGGGCTTGTGTGGAGTCTGGGTCTCTGTTCTTCCACTCAATGGCTATGCGGACTTTGATGTTACCTGGCCTCAGTTTCTTCATTTCTACAATGGGGGTGGTGACAAGTGCTCTTCACACCTCAGGGGAGAGATGGCTCAGCTGAGGAGGCTGAAGGGAATGTGTTTCGGGCTACATACTTGTTGTTGCGAATGAGCGGAACGTGTCACAGGAAGAAATGCAGAGCTTGGCAGGCCCAGGACTTCAAAGCGAGACCCCGTGGGGAGTTTTGCTCGCAGAGCTTGGGCCCCCCCCCCCCCCACTTGCAGCGCCGACGCCCCCTCACCTCAGCTGGACCACAGCCGCAGTGTCATGAGCAGGTTAAATCCAGCCACCTTCAGGAGGAGGAGGCGCAGCCCGATCACTGACAGGTTTTGAAAGTTTAGGTTCATGTCTGTAAAACCAAGGGGCCACAGTGGTTATGGGTGGGCACGGTGGAGGTCTGCCCAGCTCCAGGTGACACAACGTGGTTTTCCCCAAAGCAGAGCGGGGCAGTGGGGGTGGTCTTCGGCCTGTGTGCATGCCCCTTGCAAGTATTCTTTGTGTGCTGCTCCAGGGTCAACAGTAAGAGCGCTGCACGGGGCGCTTGTTTCAGTGCTGAGCCTCTCTGGGCCCCGGGGGTGGGAGTAGGTGCTCAGAAATGAACATCACGGTTCCTAGGCCCCTCAGTGAGAACCTAGTGGCTGAGCCGCAGCGGATATGACTCAGTAGGGCCAACTCAGATGGAAACCGCTATGGGCCCAGGGTAGGTGGTGAGGGGTGGAGGAGGACCCTGGAGAGACAAGACCACTGCCTACAGCAGACAGGAGGACTGCTGCTGTTCTGGGCGGAAGATAGAACCCCTGGCTAGGCAGGGACCATCCGGGGGACCTGAGTTCAGTGCTGTACATAAGGGAGTCAGGCTGTCCACAGCAGGGCCACCCTGCTGCTCTCTCTGGTTCTCCTCACCACAGGGCTATGGAAAGGGACACAGAGGCCCGGGAATGAGTCATTGGTCCAGTAAAACGAGAGACCCATCCTCAAAGCACTTAGAAGGGAAAGGAAGTTAGACAACGCTGAGAGGGATTCAAGAGAGACCTGGGTAGCTCTGGGCAGTCTCTAACTGCTGCTCCTGTTTCTCACACTTTTCCTTCCCAGATCCACTAATTCTTCCAACCTCCCCTCGCCAGTCAGGGTGACTGTGAGTCCATCACGTCCCCAGCCCTGTGCCAAGCTGGGCTGCACCCCGCTCTTACCTGTTTCAAAGCTTTTCTCTACCAACTTGGCATCACAGGACGCATCTGCAAGGAGAAACAAAGACATTTTCTTAGAGTCCAGAGCGTGCTGCCTTTCCCAGCCCAGACCTCCCTGGTGTTGGCCGGTGAACATCTACAGCCTTTCCATGTTCTCTTGTGGGGAGAGCTGGAAGGAACTTAGGCTACCTGCTGTGGAGGGCTGCTGGCCTCGAGAGGCCCAGTGGTTGTGCAAAGCACATATTCCATGACCCAGGCCACAAGGACCCATCACACACACACTCTGTCTACGGGCAGGCTCCAGTCTGGCCTTCAGCAGGGGGAGTGAGCCACAGACAGTGTCAAGGGCCATAGGGTGTAGATACTTCCGTATGTTCCAAAGCATACTGATTCCTGTACCCTGGATTTGTTTCTCAGTGTATGGTGCTCTCATTGACTCAGTTGCTCTGGCATAAAATTCAGAGGCCTTGCTCCATCCCCTCTTTTCCTTCTCATTCCTGTAAGCTTCCACCTTTGAATCCCACTTTGGTGTTGGCCACACAACTTCCCCGCAACCACTCCGCCCAGGCCTCCATGACCTCTGCTGTGGTCTCCTGTCTCCTTCCCCTCCTGGCCTATGATCCACTCCTCGCAGGGCAGCAGACTGATCTTTTCAAAGTAAAGTAGGTGTCACTCCCCTGCTGCAAGCCACCAGTCGTTTCCCAGCATGCTTGGGACCCCACCTGCCCTCTCACGGCCCGTGAGGCCCTGGCAGCTGGTCCTCCCCTGCTTCTTCCCACTCACTTCCCGTGCTCTCCCCTTCTCTCATTGGGCCCCTGTCTCAGGCCTCCGTAGGGTCCATTCCCTGGCTTTGGCCTGACAACTACCTTCTTCCCTTTTGAGTCTGAGCTCAAACAGCGTGTCCTCAGAGAGCCCTGCCCTGACTTTTGTCGCTAAGGTGGCTCCTTCCTCAACCCCGACTTAAAGCCTTCTCACAGCCCAAAGTTACATGGATGTTCTCCTGCTTGTTGATGGTGTCCCCTAACTAGAATGGAGCTTCCTCTGGGCAGAGCCAAGGTTTTCCTCCTCCACTCTAGCACCTGGTATGTTGTGCTCTCACAGTCAATGGCTGTTGAATGACTGAGTGGCCGGGTGAGGTGGAGCTGGGAGAGAGCTTTCAGCAGATGACGAGATGTAAGGGGCAAACAGCCTGAGCAAAGGCGGGAGGTGGGAACTCAGAGCTGGTGAGGCTGAGGCTGGCTCAGTGCTCTCTCCTGTCACCTCCTCTTCATCTGCTTTTCACCTAGGACTTTCTGTGGAGGGTTAGGATGGGGCTCACTGGGCCCCTGTGTAAAGCAGGTGGGAGCTTTGCTGATAGCTGATGAGACCGAGACCACCAATAAGATATGAGATACCCTGGACCTGAGCTCCGGGCAGAACCAGGCATCTCCTGAAGTGAGGAGGCTCAGCTTGCTAAGACTTTGCAAAAAGGCTGTACTCACCTGAGGAGGAAACGAATGTGTGATTACTGAAGGCATCTTGACATGAAAGTCTGCTGTTTTGGCTCCAGGCCAAGGCACCGTAGCTCTTGGAATCTAAGGACTTCATGTTCAGCACGGTGTGGCTTGTGAAGACTGTTTCGGATTCTGTACGTTGTGACACATTGGTTTGAGAATCAAAATCAGTTAATAGACACATGGAGAGTTTGCTGGATTTTGAGTCCGAGCTTCTCAGCTGGTAGACTGCGGGCTGAGGGTCTGTGATATCTGCGGGCCGAAAGAACTGCAGTTAGGCCATGCTCCTGTTTCCCTCTTTGCCCAGCCCAGGCCAGAGTCCAGGTGCCAGTGATGGACAAGAGTGGGGCTCTAGGGAGCTGGCAAGCCATATTCTCAGGCGTCACATGGGAAATATTCTAACATTTTAGAAACCGGATGCTCACAAGGACCTGGGGCCTCAGGGACAGGCCACAAGTCCTGTCCATGTCACGCAGGGAAACCAGAAATGCAGGGCTACTGATATTGCTCATTCTCCTTATAGATAATAGGGCTTCAAGCCTCCGCAAGCCTACTCAGTGCTACAGCTCTGGCAGGCCAAAGACAAAAGAGAGAAAAGGCCCAGCTAACCAAACCAGGAAGCTACAGGCGTCTCCTCCACTTCGGCAGGCACCGGGGATTTCTGATACGTGGACATTAAGTTGGAAAACCAATAGTATTACCAGGGGATGTCTCTCTCATCACTAAATGTCTTGGACTACAAGTTAGAACACCCATTCACAAGCCCTGGCCCCACCCTTTCCTAGACAGAAGGCCTTGAACAAGTCAGCTTCTTGAGTCCCCCGAGTTTCCTCTGTAAAATGGAAAAGCTGCCTCATCCAGTTTCCTAACAGAGGTTTCTCCAAGTAGAATTATATGGAGGGGCAGGCATTTGGCTTCCGTGGTTAAGACACCTGCTAGGATGCTGGCATCCCAGACAGAGTACCTGGGCTCGGTCCCTTGCCCTGACTCCTGATTGCAGCTTCCTGCTACTGTAGACCCAGGGAGGTGGTGATGATGGCTCAGGTAATTGGAACCTGGATTGAACTGCTGGCTCCTGGCTGTAGGCCCCTGCCAGGGCCATTCTGGGCATTGCGGACTGAACCAGTGGATGGGAACTCTCTCTTTTTCTGTCTCTCTGCCTCACAATAAATAAATAACTAAACAATTTTAAAAGTAAAATAATTAAGTACGCCGTGAAGCCCTGAGCTGCTGTGAGGAGCTGGAGCTGCTGGTACTGCCGGATGGCTGATCCCGAGAATCGCCGTCACAGACTGTGCCTCAGCCCCGGAAGCAGGAGCCGCTGCAGGCTTCTCCTTAGTGCGGAGACGCACTCTGCAGTGTTTCTGGCGGATTCCGTGTTTGTACCGTGAGTCTCATTGTTGATTCTTTCTGACCTCAGCCTTCAGAGGAGGAAGCAAGGTTTGCCAGGAGGATTAACACACTGGGACCACCCAGAGAGTTTCCAGTAGGGCCGGCTGGGGGTTAGAATTTCCTGCCCTGTGGTTCTCTCCCCCAGCTTCTCACTGCACACACAAGGTTTCTCAGACCCCAGCGATGATGTGTCCCGCTTCCCGGGCCAGCTGGGGTGGCCTTGGCACAGCAGACACTCGGCTGAACCCAAAACCAAAGCAGCCAGCGCTTGGCACAGCCCAGGGCTGCTGAGTCAGGGCGGCGCTGCCTGCAGTGGAGGGCCCTGCAGCAGCAGAGCAGGGAGCCCGGCACCAACACCACCGCGGGCCACGACCCTGAGGTCTAACCTCGCTAGGAGGGGAGAGACGGGAAGGCGTTCTCTCCCCTCCCACAGCCCCAGTGGATTCCTTAGTCAGCAGGGGGAGGGGTGGTCTCGGGCAGGACTGGGGAGGGCTATAAGGAAGAGCACGGAAATACAGAGAGAATGTGGCTTTGAGGAGAAGGCAGAGGATCAGGTGCCACCGAATAGTTTGGCTTCACAGGGGAAAGAGATTCCCTGTGAGGACCAGAAGTCCAACTTGGAGTCCAGCTTAAACACTAACTGAAGTCCTGGGGCCTGATGGTGTCAGATTCGAGAAGATCAAGATCTCTGTTCAGTTTTACAGCCTCCAGCTACATGTGGTTATGTAAATGAACATAAGATTAAACAGAAGATTATGTTAACCCACAAAGATTAAAACTAATTAAAAATGAAAACTTCCTCTCTCTCTCTCTCCAATTCTGATTTTCAAATAAATAAAATCAATCTTAAGAAAAAGGGGGATGCTAGTGTTGTGACACAGTGGGTTAATCTGCTGCCGGCATCACCGCCATCCCATATGAGCGCTGGTTCAAGTCCCGGCTTCTCTACTTCTAGCTCCCTGCTAATGTACCAGGGAAGGCAGTGGATGATGGCCCAAATGGGAGACCTGGATGGGGTTCCAGGCTCTTGGCTTCAAACAGCCGTGGCTGTTGCAGCGATTTGGGGAGCGAACCAGCAGATGCAAGATCTCTCTGTCCATCTCTCTCTCTGTAACTCTGCCTTTCAGATAAATAAAATAAACCTTTAAAAAAATAAGTAAAAAATAAAAAAAAAATTGAGAGCTCAAAAGCCACATGGAACTGGTGACTGTTTTACTGGACACTGGAGATTGACAGAACATGTCCTTCATCACAGGAAGCTCTACTGGATAGGATTGGTCTAGACAGAGCAATGGCACAGAGGATGAGATTTTGAGGAATGGCAGTGGGGCTTAGCGTGAGACTCAAAAACCATCGAGAAGTCTATGAAGGGTGACTGCTGAGAGCAGGCCAATTGCTGCTCAGCTTTGCTGACGAGAATCAAGAGGAAAGAGCAATAAAATGGAGTCAGAAGTGAGGGTGAGGTGACTTTTAGCCCCTCTCCATCTTACTTCCCTACCTGCAGTTTTGCTTTTGTTCCTCTTGTCCAGCTTCTACCTCACTCAATATTTTTAGGCCAAAAGAGAAAGCTGCACTGGAGGTATTTGATATTTTTAGTCTCCTTTTACTTTCGTCCCAATTTAACTCCAGCTGCTTTTAATTAGGAGGTCGTTGGGGTCCATATGTGAGAGCCCCACGGGGAGAAACATTCTACTCCACCCAACCAAGCAAAACACATCCCACCACTGATGACATCAGAAGGTAGCCTCAGGAAGACCAGATCAATTTTTCAATGTGGAAGTTCAGTTATTTTAGCTCCTAATCTGTCATTTTAATTCAAAACCAACTGCATAGCATATGTCTGAATACTCTAGTAGTTTTTCTTTTTTAATTTAAGAGGGAGATGTGGGCGGGGGAGAGGGAGAGAGAGGCAGACCAAGAGAGAGCTGGCATCTGCTGGTTTACTCCCTAAATGTTCACATTGGTCTTGGATTGGGAGCAGAGGTTGGGGCAGAAGCTGGAGCAGGAACTCAATCCAGGTCTTCCATATAGATGGCAGGGACCCAATCACTTGAGCCAACACCCACTGCCTCTCAGGGTCTGCATTGGCTGGAAGCTGGAGTCAGGAGTTGGACTGGCTATCAAACTTAGGAACTTGAACACGGGATGTGGGCTTCTTAACAGCTCAGCTCAGTGCCTGCCCTGCTCAAGTACTTTAGATGCCCAGGGCACAGCAGAGATTGAAGACTCCCTTACCATTGAATCTGTGCTCTATAGTTACCTACCAGGAACCCGAAACAAGAATTTGTGATACAGAGTCTGGGTCACACCGAGGCTGTGATGATCATTGGGAAACAGGGAGCATGGGAGACTTACTGGGACTAATGGAAACTCTGGTGCATTTACCAAATCCAAAGTGGGAGGAACACCTCACACCACTCCCGATGTCCCCATCACAGAAACCCTTAAGTGTGTCCTCCTCTGAGAAGAGGGCAGGCCCCCTTAGAGCCCACCAAGGGAGGAGAGAGGTGCTTCCTACATCCTGCACCACCCATGATCGGCACTGTTTCTTCTCACCCTCACATCTGCTCTGCATTTTCAGGTTGGGTCCCGATCTCCCAGTGACTGGCCCCAGCTCCAGTTTCTGTGTGCTCCTGAAAGTTGTAGTATTTCTTTCCCTCAATGCCTAAAAAGACACTTTTTTGCCTGGCCTGCTTATCGTATGATTTATCGTCAGATGTGTTTGCTTAGGCCAAAAGGCATGTGCTTGGTTTATTCCTAAGTCCAACCTTTTCCTGATGTTCTTCCTGCCTGGAACTCTCCTTTTCTTTTCTCTCCTTTTTTTTTTTTTTTTTTTGACAGGCAGAGTTGGACAGTGAGAGAGAGAGACAGAGAGAAAGGTCTTCCTTTGCCGTTGGTTCACCCTCCAATGGCCGCCGCGGCCGGCGCACTGCGCCAATCCGAAGCCAGGAGCCAGGTGCTTCTCCTGGTCTCCCATGGGGTGCAGGGGCTAAGCACTTGGGCCATCCTCCACTGCACTCCCGGGCCACAGCAGTGGAAGAGGAGCAGCCGGGACAGAATCTGGCGCCCCAACTGGGACTAGAACCCTGGGTGCCGGCACCGCAGGCGAAGGATTAGCCTAGTGAGCTGCGGCGCCAGCCCCCCTTTTCTTTTTTCTTTGCTCATCCAGATTTTAGCCATCCTTCAGGGCCCAATAAATCCTTTCTACCACGTAAAACTTCTCCATGTAGGCCGACATTCTAGACAGAACTCTATCTATACTGTACCCATTGACATCAACTGGTTATTATGAAACTAGTCTCCAGGTTGCTAAATTTACAAACTTTGACTAGTTTCTATATGATTCGGGGACAGGTCAGGCATCTATCTTAGACTTCTTCATATACTGTCTACCATTTTCTAGAGTGATGGCTACATAAAAGACATTAAAAGCATCCATTGAACAATTAAAGTCAAATTTTAATGTGTTTGACCTAGAGAGACACAGATATTGAAGATTAATAGTGATGCTTTTCCCCTTCCCAGACCTCTGTAAGACAATTACAACATGCGCAGTTATCCTCACCATAGTAATAAACGATACCCCAGACATGGGATTAGTGACAGTGGCCCATGGGGTTGCAAATGATGCCCCCTGCGATGACTCACCAGATATTATGGACACCTGGGTCCCTTTCCCAAATGTGAGTTTACCACTCATTCCTCCAATATTCACACCACAGATGACACCATTACAGAAACTCATGGGACCTACCTATGCATAAACAGGAGTAGTGCTGATCGTCCACAGGGTGGGAGAATCACACCCCTAAGAGTTAGACCTTCTGATCTTTATTTATTGGAAAGGCAAAATGTCACAG